GGGGGGGGGCTATTGTAATCGCCGAAGCTTGCATGTCCGCTCTCGATTCGTCATACGACATTAATTAGAATCGCCGATTAGATCTGAGTTTACGGTACGCGAGTGACTTATGACGGAGCTGCGACGCAAGTCGGAGGAAAATCGCGACGTTCCCGTTCAGCTGCCGTGGAAACGAGAGGGGAGTCAGCGACGACGACGAAGAGAGGGAATTTAGGTTCGGAAAACTCGCGCGCGCGCGCGCGCGGCTCGCCAGCTACTCCTCGTCTCGGCATAATCTCGGGCGTGCCATAAATTTGTTTAGCGTGATGCACTTCTCCTCGGCGCGGAATAATCTCAGAGCGACCCATAAATTCGCCTTTCTCACCGAGCCACCCGTTACATTCTGCGCCACGCTAGAAACGGACCGGTAGCTGAGGGACCGAGAGGAGGGAGAAGAGCCGTCCAAAGTCGCTCTTGCGAGGTTTTGCCCAAGAGAATGGAACGTTAAGGCGATTTGCACTTTGTGAAACCCCCTCCACTCCCTCTCTCGTGTTCGCCTCCTTTGCGCTCTCGACGCTCGATGCGTAATTAGATGTGACATGTGTGTGGGCAAAAAAAGCACGATCGATTTACCGACGAAGCGAAAAAGCCTAGGCAAGGATGGTTCTCGCGATTTCTACGAGGGCGGATCCGATAAAGAGGTCGAGGAGACCGGTTATGGGGCGTCGGAAGAAGAGGCAAGTTCGACGACCGTAAACACGCGGTGACGAGCGTCGCGGTGCTCTTCGTCGTCGTAGTGAGGTGCCCTTACGACGTCGTAGCGGTCGCGTTCTCGCGCCTTCCCCACCGTAATTTCCAATTACCGTCCGCGACGAGATGACCGTCTCGCGAGCACGCTGTCAATGTCACTCGAGTCATAATCGTTACCGGATACGGAGCGTAAATTCGAACGCGCTAGCCGATAGAGCTATATGCCCGCGAATCTCCTTTTTCGTCCCGTTCACACCGTCGTGTTTTGGTGCGACGTTGCTGTTGTCATCGTCGCTCGCATAACCGACGAACGCCGGCGTAAAACTGTCATACGCTGCTTAAGCTTGTCTAGACTGGGCGTATGTGTGCGCGTGTACGTGTTTGTGTGTATTTTATAGACGATAGTCCCGCCGAGCGCGGAAATATATTCTCAGCCTTTGTGTGTCGGCGCGATACATCGGTAAATCTCTCTCTCTCTCTCTCTCTCCCTCCCTCTCTCTCTATGATAGCACCGGCGCTCCATTTTGTTCGGTAGGAATCGCCGTCGCCTTTGTCGAGCGAGCGGGGAAAAATATCGGAATTTCGGGTGATGAACGCCGGTGCTTGGCTCGAAAATAAACTCGTAATCTTGTCAAACGATCGGCGCGATATATAAAATAAATCGTGTCTAAAGACGCGGGCGAGCGAGCGAGCGAGCGAAATTGCTCGAGTCTCCCCTCCCTCTCGTTGCACGATCGCTCTTTTGAAAAGAATAAAATAACGACGCGACAGACCTATGTTTCTGTTTTCGAAATACTGTCCGGAACGACGATATATATCTCGCGCTTCGGCGGGAAAATTGATCGTTTCGGACGGGCTCGGCGACAACATGTTCGCAATCGCGCAGATAACTGCGCCAAGCCGAACGTCTCTAATGCGTCTAATGCGGGAATAACGGCAGGGACGGGATGTAACCTCGAGTCGTGCCGGTAGTTCAATGATTTCTATGAAATTAACTCGCAAGATCGCGACGTAATGTCGTTACACAAATCAAATCTCAGGCTTCGTCAGATCGCATCGAACTTGCGCGCGGAGGCTCTCGAGGATACCCGGCGCGACAACGACGACGAAGAAGACGCGCATTCGTGGGGTTACAGTTCGCCTTTGACCGTCGTAGGAAGCAGCTTTGATGTCGCGTGTAATAGAGTTTTACTCCGCGGCAAGGAACGGAGAGAAAACTTCGCGCTCGGAGCGAGGAAATCGGAAAAGGGAAAATCACTGGCGGCGTCGGGGAGCGACGAGGAAACCGNGGGGGGGGGGGGAGGCACCCGGAAGGCGAAAGAAGAGTACGACGCTGGGGAGGTGCTTTGAGAGGTTCTTCGGCGCAACTTTTCACGTTCCTTTGAGTTCTTAATCTGTCCCCTTACGTTGCGTCGCGCAATTAGTTTAAAAGCCCTCGTCCCGTGAAAATTCCGAGGAAATTCGGAATTGTGTACACGCGCGAATCGATATCCGTCGCGCGGTGAATGCGTGCTCTGTGTGACGCGCGGAGGGGAAGAACAAACAATTCTCTCCCGTCGTTTTCCTTCGTACGGACTCCACCGCTTTTTCTTCCTTTCTTTCGGTGAACGCGCTCTTCAGGCCCAGAAGTAGTAACGCGCGAGGTTGACGTCGACGGATATCGTGATAGACCCCGTAACATCGTCCGGTCCATTAAAGTTTAACGACTGTATCAGAGGGTANGGGGGGGGGGGGTTAATATAGCGGGCGCAACACAATATTATTAAATTATTACAACATTATATAACTTTCGTAAGATCAGACGGCGAGGAGCGGCGCCGGCAATTACCTAACGCCAAATTGATACAGGCGGCGGCTGTATCAAAGGGCGTGATCGGTTAGGTAACCGTTTAGTTGGGATTAGAGCGTCGACGTCGGGAATTGCGGCGGGATCGCAGCAACGTCAACGTAACCAGACACTCGACAGAGTGAGCGGTATGTGTGTAAGAGAGTTCCGGCGGTGGCAATATCCACGGATAATTGTTATTAGTAATTAATCTCGCGCGACGCACAAAGTCCTCGGGGAGGGGATGACAAGGAAGACGACGTGCGGCGCGTTCGGCTTTTGATCGATACGCGCCGTC